AATTATTTAGAGGCGCCGGTGGAATACTGTTGTATCGGTAACACAGACGATCCGTTTGTGGCCTTGGGGCGCCTCCGCCGTGTGCTCCATCACTGTTTCCCCTCATGAATAATGGAGCAGCTGAATTACTCTGCGTGTATGGGATTCATACCCTGAGAAAACAAGGTTGCTCTGAAATTAATTTTCTGTACTAAGAGAGTGACAGAAAATCAATTAATCGCACATTATTCTATACGGAGACAGAGGAAAGGAAGCCGTGGAAATGGCTCGGGCCATACGTCAGCAAATGCCCAGGGTGGCCGAGAGCTTTGGTGGATGCTCCGCTGAAGTAGGTGGCACCAGAGGCCGTGTGACCTGCCAGGAGAGGGGTCAGTGGGCACCAGGGGGGTGGCTTCCTGGGCCTGCCTCTGTGCTGAGTGTTTTCTCTCCTGGCAACTGGGTTGGTCACGGTTCTCTCTGCCTGATGCTGGCTGTCCCTAGAGCCATGTCCGCATTAAGGAGAAGGGTGGGTCATCTCTGAAGCAGACTGTGGACCCAGCTGTCCCCAGAGCCCGCCCAGCTCCCCAGGAGGCTGCTCACTGATGAAGGTGAGGTTGACCTCCACGGGCACTCCTCTGCCTGCATCTGCATCCCTCAAGGAAGCCGCTGCCTTTACTGCTTTGCTTTCTCCCCTTCCACCACAATTACATCTCAAGTAAAAAAAAAAATCTCCTATGCTGCTTTTTTCTGAGGTTCAAACACCCTGGAGGATGGGAATTACTGTCTGCCCTCGGTATTCCTAGCTGAGCAGAGCCCCAAACAAAAGAAGGAGTCTTTCATGGTAAGTTTTAAGCCAGGAGACATTTGATGGAGGAAGATAATGTGCAGGTCAGGGGGCATCAGATGGTGAGCATTACTGGACTTCCGAGGTGATCACCCCCCTGTGGGTAGCTGTTTATTCTGCCCATCTGTCAAGTGGGTACCTTTTTGAGTAAATAAATCTTTTTTGTCTATCAGCTGAGAAGGAGGCTGGGATTTTATAGATAAAATGTAGATGACAAAGGAGACAAAGATGTTTAGGACTGTCCCCCTGCCCTACCCCTGGGAGATCAAGGTGAACCAGCTTCTCTCGCCATCACACAGCAGCTCCATGGGGGCCCCGCCCAGCTCACCCCCTAATGTTCTCAAACAGGGGTGGCAGGGAGACAGAGTCCGGAAAGCCTAGAAGTGGGGATAACCGTGGGAGCCCTGTCTTTCCCAGCCTCGTTGGCTGCAGTGGAGAGTCACCTGGACCCAAGGGTGACCTTGGGTGAGATCACCTCCTGTGATCTCACAGGAGGACCCAGCAGAATGAGGCTGGACCTCGGAAAGGGGCCTGCCGGCAGCCTCAGCTCCAGAGAGGAGGGAGGGATTTTAGATCCCCAGTTAAAACTGTTTCCCCTCCCCAGACTCTTCTCATTGGATTTGACATTATGCTGAATGGATGGGTTGAAGGCTAAGAAGGTTTTGAAGAAAGCCTTTCTTGCTGGCTTGTGCATTCCGTTACACCACATTCTCCTCCTCCACTAAAAGGAACAAATGGCCTGCTTATCAGCTGCCTGAGCCCTGACACACGGGTGTCCCCCGCCCTGCAGGCAGGCTGACACACAGGCAGACATGTCACATCTTCAGCTTCTGATGGGCGGCCTCGGCACGGCCAGACCCGGCGGCTGACAGGCAGGGGTAAGTCACTCCCCGCTCGGCTCCAGTGACTCCGAGTGTCCTGATCAGCGATGTCAGCATGGTGTTCGTGCCCCAAAGTCTGTGACAGGAGATTTCAAAGCTCCCCATGCAGGACGGTAGTAAACAGACTCAAATCAGGCTCTGGACCCACGTGGAGGAAGGCAGAGGGGGTGCAGGAGGTGAGGAGTACAGTTGCAGGAGCCGCTGAGATTTTTTACCCCACGACCAGGCACCTGCTTTGGATTTCAGATTGCCTAGAAATCCAGTTTCCCCAAAAAGGTCATATTAAAATTATACTATGGGAGTTCTTTTAAAGGAATTAGATGTGGAGTGGGGCAGGCACTGTTTCAAGCTTTAGCAAGGGAAAAAATACTTTTGGTGATGCGAATTTTAGCTTCTTCCAACTCTTGCTTCAATGTAAGACTCTTGTTTTATGTTGTTGTTCAGTCAGTCAGTTGTGTCCGACTCTTTTGCAGCACCATGGACTGCAGCACACCAGGCTTCCCTGTCTCTCACCATCTCCCAGAGCTTGCTCAAACTCATGTCCATTGAGTCAGTGATGCCATCCAACCATCTCATCCTCTGTCATCTCCTTCTCCTCCCGCCTTCAATCTTTCCCAGCATCAGGGTCTTTTTCAATGAGTTGGTTCTTTGCATCAGGTGACAAGAGTACTGGAGTTTCAACATCACTGCTTCCAGTGAATATTCAGGGTTGATTTCCTTTAAGATTGGCTGGTTTGATCTCCTTGCAGTCCAAGGGACTCTCGAGAGTCTTCTCCAACACCACAGTTCAAAGGCATCAATTCTTCAGTGCTCAATCTTCTTTATGGTCCAACTCTCACAACCACATAAGACTACTGGAAAAAACATAGCTTTGACTATAGTGATGTCTCTGCTTTTTAATATACTGTCCAGGTTTGTCATAGCTATACATATACTTAGCTGAATGCAGAGTTTCAGAGAATGGCAAGGAGATATAAGAAAGCCTTCTTACATGAACAACGCAAAGAAAGAGAGGGAAAAAATAGAATGGGAAAGACTAGAAATCTCCTGTTTTATAAAAGTGCTTTTTAGAAAGAGTATAGCTACAGCCTGCGGGGCTTTTGAAGAACATGTCTTTCTTTCTCATGAAGTTTGGGCATCAGCTGCTGGCTCCACTCTCTGAGGACCAGAAGCTCTAGCTCTGGCTGCCTTGAGGCAGGATCCGGAGGAGCTAGGCACCCTTGTCTGCTTCCCTTCCAGGTGAGGGCGCGGGAGGCTTCGATCTTCCGCCTGCATCTGCAGCATCTTTGGTTTGGGTTCCCTGCCTCGGTTGCCCCCATCCTCAGTGGAGGTGAGGGGGGCAGGCACTCAGTCCAACAGGGATGGAGATTCAGGTCAGAGACCTCTCCACACGCATGGGGTGCCTGCTCCCCGCCTCCACAAGCCCCGCCCCGCCCCGCCCCGCCCACGCCGCGCCCACGCCCCGCCCACGCCCCGCCCAGTCTCAGGGTCCCGCCTCTTCCTCAGTGAATCGCCAGAGGAGCTAACCCGGATCCCTCCAGTGGGGCGTGGGCCTCCGTACCTTCCGTCTGCCCTGGATCTGTACGTCCATCTGTTTAGCAACTCGTTAGGAAGGTGCAGCTTTTGGGCTGTGTGTCCCCTGGCAGGCGTCAGAGCCTCTTGCCAGACTCCAGCGCTCTCCAAACCAACCAGAAGTCACCCAAGGAGCAGAACCAGTGACGGAAGGATGAGGGCTGGTGAGCGACCATGAACAGTCCCCCAGCTTTGTGAGTTATATTAGTGCCTCGCCCACCTGCAGTATTTCACATCCTACTTCCAGAAACGGCTGTCTCTGCTCTGGAGGAAGAGACAGTTTTTCCATTTTTACAGACGGGGCATGACACATTCAAGGGGATACCTGGAGAGAACCAGGGACTCTTGGTTCAGTTCTGTTTTGCCAGGCTGTGAGTGTGATAGAGACAGGCAACTGGCCTGTTTGTTTCTACTACCTGCCTTAAGTAAAGAACCTTTTGGCTACTTGTTGATTTTCAAGATGGCTCCAGAGAAACAGCTACAGAGGCGGATGGACAGTCTTTCTACCAATCTGAGTCAATTGACACCGACAGAACCCACATTGTAGGTCAGCCACTGGGCTGCAGGGACGAGAATTGGGTGTTCCAGTAAGCAAGCTGGGAAATAAGCATCTGTCGTTCTGTGGGCTCCCATCTTCTGGTTTCTATTGGTCTTATGAAATAAGAAGGAGAATGGTCACTTTCCTATTTTGTTTGTTTGTTTTTTTCAGCTGCACCATGAGGCATGACCAGGGATCAAACCCAGGTCCCCTGTATTGAAAGCTCCAAGTCTTAACCACTGGACCACCAGGGATATCTTACAAATGATCACTTCTTGAGCACTGTCTGTGGTCTGGAATCAAAGCCTGATGCTTCACATATGTGCCTTTACTTAAGCATCACCATATACCTTTGAGAAAAGTAAAAGAGTGATCCATTTTACAGCTGAGTCAACTGAAACTAGGAGGAATCAGGCAGCTTGTCTGAGGTCCCACAGTTAGCAAGTAACAAAGATGGGATCCATCACAGACCAGCCTGACACTTAGGGTCAAATGTCACCCATCTGTCCTGTCCCCCAAATTGTTCTTCTGTGGGTTTAGCTGAACCCCTTGGTAATGTTGGTTTTGCTGACTGGTGCTCAAGCCTCTTTTTACATCCACTAAGACCCTTTCTGCAAGATTGACTTTAAAGGGAAGGAGACAGTACCTTGTGACCAGCCTGGTCTGGTAAGAAGTCCCTCTGGCAAGCTGGTTTGACACTAACATGCAATTTGCATCTACATTCTGCTAGCTTCCAGCTCATGCCCTGTCTGTTAAATACACTGCATAGTTCAAGACTGTGTATTTAATGTATTTAAATGGAATGTAATGTCTTAAAGTTGAGTTGAATAGTGGCACAGCTACCTATGGTGGAAAGAAAAATGCATCGAACATCCCAACATCGTAGCATGTAGGTTCGAGTCTTGGATTTGCACTTTAACCAGTTGAGTGAATGTAGCCAATTTAGCTATTCGCTGAGCCTCCATTTCTTTATTTATAAGATGGGTATAATTATATCTTCCTACCTTTCTTAGCTTGTATGTATGTGAAATGAAATAATGCACAAAAGGTACCTCATGGTTTGTAAAGTGTTACAACAACCTGATGGATAATTAGGATATATACATGTACTTCTTTTTCTTATTTGCCATCTTGATTTCCTTCTTAGAGAAATGGAGAGACATCGCACATTTTTTTTTTCTTTCAGATTTCCCTTCTTCCGACCAAATTGCCAGTAGAATGAAAAATTACCTGAAGGGAGAATTCTTTGCAAGTGTAAAAAGGCATCTCAGACAACAATGGCTATTTCTTTTAACCTTTTAAAAAGCTACAGGATGCCATGAAAATATAGGGAACTTGCAAACAAAGATCTCTTGGAATGATGTATTACTGTTGAGTGGGATGAACTCACTAAGCTGAAACTGTCAGTGAGTTTGACTGCAGTGAAATGACATCCTGGAATTCCAGTGTGCAAGGTCTACACTAGAGGAAGTGTTACTTTTGTGTGGACAAAAAGGTCTGCTTTTGGGAATTCCCTGGCAGTCTAGTGGTTAGAACCTGGGGCTTTCACTGCTGGGGCCTGACTTCAACCCCTGGTCAGGGCACTAAGTTCTCATAAGTCATGGCCAAAAAATAAAAAAAAAAAAAAAAGCCTGCTTTTGATGCTTTCCTTGGTCAATCCATCACCACTTAAAGAATTTTTTTTTAATGCAGACTGCTTTTAAAGTCTTTATTTAATTTATTTTATTAATTTATTTTGTTTCTGTTTCATGTTTTGTTTTTTTGGCCTCAAGGCATGTGGGATCTTAGCTGCCCAACCAAGGATCAAACCCTCAGCCTCTGCATTGGAAGGTGAAGTCTTAACCCCTGGACCACCAGGGAAGTACCCACATCCTTATTTATTTATTTATTTTTTTAATGAAACTGCTTTCAGATGGGGCTACACACAGTAACTGAGTGTGTTCACCGCCTGGTCTGTGAGACAGTGATGACTCAAATGGCAACAGACAGCACATACTATAGAAAAACCCCGTCTCCACCCTCAGCTCTGGCATACAGGGGCCTGGCTTCGATGGGACAGGTGAGGTGACCTGCCTCATGTCACAAGCAGGCCTTGGCAGGGCTGACTGTGGATTCAACTTCCTGCCTCTCTGGACAACCCATATTACTTTGCATTCCGCTAATTAACTCATCATCCATCATGTCATTTGATATCTCCACTCATATGTTAATATCTTTATTTTATAGAATAAACACAGAAACTCTTATTTACGCTGAGAAGGAGATCCACCTGTAGGGTGAACACAGCGTGTCTAGGGTTGGCGAGCAGGCTGAATAAAGGCAGCTTTTGACAGGTGGCAGGCTGGCCTGGGTCGACCCTACTATCAAAGACAACCCCTTGAGTGTATACCGAGGAGTGCCGGGCCCCTCACTGACACTTGCTCATTACAGTGACTAATTAATATGTCATTGGCCTCTAATCATGAATCTAGAGTAGATTAGCAATGATGAAGCCGTGGAAATTAATTTACAAACATCTACATATTTCTCCTTGACCCAGTGGGGCTCATAGGTGTCCTCTGGAAAGCAGAAACAGGGAGTCGGCACGCAGGGAACAGAGGACCTAGGAAAATAGGAGAGGTTCAGACACCACTGCCGAACTGGGACCAAGACCCTTCACCCAGCAAGTGGCCTCATGGAACGGGGTGACCTGAAGGAGTTAGAAATTAAAAAATCAAGTAGGTCAGAAGATTAAAGGACCCCTCCTTTGATGCAACTGGATGTAGAGTTTTCAACAAAATGAATGCCTGAATTACATGAACTAAGGGTAGGCCTTCAGTCATATCCTCCTGCAATGCAGGAGACCGTGGTTCGATTCCTGGGTCGGGAAGATCCCCCGGAGAAGGGAAAGGCTACCCACTCCAGTATTCTGGCCTGGAGAATTCCATAGACTATATTGTCTGTGGGGTTGCAAAGAGTTGGACATGACGGAAGGACTTTCACTTCCACTTTCAAGGGTAGGCACTTCCCCGGAGGTCCAGTGGTATAGACCCTGTGCTTCCATGGCAGGAGGCACAGGTTCAATCCCTGGTCAGGGAACTAAGGTCCCTTATGCTGTGCTGTTGTTCAGTTGCTAAGTTGTGTCTGACTCTTTGCGACCCCATGAAGGAATAGCTCTCACTCCCCCCAGCCTCAGCCAGGGGTAGCTTCTAATCTACCCTCTGTCTCTGTGACTTCACCTGTTCTAGATATTGCATTAAGTGAAATCCTACAATGCTTGTCCTTTTGTGTTTGGCTTATTTCACTAAGCGTAGTGTTTTCAACTTTCATTCATGTAGCAGCATGTATCATAGTTTCATGTCTTATGACTTAATCATATTCCATCATGTGTCCATCCTACAAAAACCACATCTTGCTTGCCCATTTATCTGTTGATGGACACCTAAGAAGTTTCCACCTCTTGCTATTGTGAATAATGTTGCAGTGAACATGGGTATTCATGGATTTGTTTGAGTCCTTGTTTTCAGTTTTTTTGGATATATACCCAGGAGTGTAATTCCTCGGTCACATGGTAATGTCATATTTGACTTTTTGAGGAATCAGCCAGTTTGTTTTCCTTGACAGCTGCCTCAATTTACATTCCCACCAGCAATGTACAAGGGCTCCAATTATTCCACATCCTTTTCAAAGTCGCTAGATTCCATTTAAAAAATGTATTCATCCTAGTAGGTATGAAGTGGTGTCTTGTCTACATTTTGACTTTAATTTCTCTAATGACTAATGATGTTAAGCATCTTTTCTTAGGCTATTTGGCCATTTTACAGCTTCTTTTTGAGAAATTTCTACTCAAATCCTTTATCCATTTTTCATTGGACTGTTTTTGTTGTTAACTGTAGGATTTCTTTAAATATTCTGATTATTAAGCCCTTATTAGATATATAATTTGTACATTCCTCCTTTATATAGATTGTCTTTTCACTTTCTTGGTAGCGTTCTTTGATGAACAGAAGCTTTTCGTTTTAAGAATCTAATTTCTGTTTTTTCTTTCTCATTCTCAGTCTAAGACTTTATTTGCCAAATCTGAAGATCATGAAATGTACTCCTCTGTGTTTTATAGCTTTCGCTCTTATTTTCAGCTTGTTGTCCCTTTTAAGTTAATTTTTGTATGCAGTGCGAGTTGTGGTCCAACTTCATTCTCTTGCAAGTAGAAATCCAGTTGTCCTAAAACTACGTGTTGAAACCATATTCTTTTCCTTCTGAAGGTTCTTGGTATCCTTGTCAAAATTCAATTGACTATAAGTGCACAGGTCTATTCCTGGACTCTCAGTTCTATTCCACTGGAATTCCATACTTTCACTGTTAAGTATGACATTTGTTGTGCATCTTTCAAGAATGTCTTTCTTATGTAGAGGAAGTATCTTTATATTCCTAGTTTTTTGAGTGTCCTAATGCAATTTTACACCACCAATAATTTACTTAAATGGTCTCTTCTATTTAGAAATATGTTTGCCCTCATCTTCTCGGTACAGAAATCTTTTCTCAAATCTAACCCAGTGTCACCTCCTCTGAGCACCCATATGATCTTTGCATTTAAAGTCGTGTCTCATATTTATTTGCTCTTATGGTTATGTTCTCTGCTGCTCCATGATCTCTTTGAGCATGGAGGCTGTGTCATATTCATTTTGCTGGTGCCAGAATCCAGGAAAGTGCTCTGTAAATATTTGCTGGAAGAATGCTGGCTGAATCACATTTTATGATTTCTTAACATCTCAGTGTTCCTAAAATCTCTTGGCTTAACTTCCCCTATGGGCTCATTAGGGAGAATCACCCCTCTATCTGACATGAGACACTGGTGGGATGTCCTTTGAGAGTCAAGGTCAGAAGAACAGAGGAAGGCCTGGGTGCTTCCTGGATGTTATGACATATCAATACCAAGGTGGAAAAGAGCTGCCCGCTGCTTTGCAGTGACTACCAGAGGACCGCTCATTCTGGGATTCATTATCCTGTTTGTTCAAAAGCTTTGGCAATGACACACCATTTTCTTCCTTCGTTATCAAGCCAGCAAATACTGATTGAATGACTCCTCTGTGCCAAACACATTGCTGGGAACAGTGGAGGGACACAGAGACGTCCATTTGGTTTTGCCCGTTCCTTCCCACGTGGCGCTTGGTCCAGGAGAGGAAGGCTTTCAGGCTAGGTGATGTTGCACAGGATTATGTGAGTTTCTTATTGCTACCATCACCGCCCCCCACTTAGTGGTTTACAACAATACAGCCATATCATCTCACAGTTCTAGAGGTTAGAAATCCAAAATGCATTTCACTGGGCTGAAATCAAGGTTGGCAGAGCTGTGCAACTTCTGGAGACTCTTGGAGGTGGGTCTGTCTCCTTGCTTTTTCCAGTATCTGCCTGGATTCCTGGACCTGTGGTGCCCGTAATCACATTACTCTACCTCTGCTTCCATCGTCACGTCTTCTCTGACCCTGGCTCTCGTGTTTCCTTTTTTCCCCTTTAAGGACCCTTGTGGTTACACTGGGCCCACCTGGATAATTCACGATCCTCTCCCCATCTGAAGATGCCGAAGTTAATCACATTTGCAGAGCCCCCTTTGTCACATACAAAGGGTCACAGGTTCTGGGCACTAGGACATGAGCATCTTTGGGGGTCTTTTAGCCTATCACAGGACTGCAGATTGGCTGAACTTTCACTGATCAGAGAGGGTCCCCCAGCACCAGTCCCATGGTCAAGTTCATGTAGCAAGTTCCCCTCCTGTCTCAGGGTGTCTTCACTTTATAGAGGCGGAAACCACAACCTTGAGAGAAAGTGACTGACGTCAGATCACACTGCCTGTAGTCTGCAAGGGCTCAGCCTGGGACAGGCTCTCTGACCTAGAATCCAAAGATTCCATGACTTAGTGCTCCATCAGATAAAGCAGGGCAGTAGACTTTCTGAAGGGGTGATGGCCCCCAACCCTCTTTCTCTGGTTCCACAAAAGCTCAGCCCTTCATATGCGGAGGGGCCTATTTTCGGAGCCTGGATAAATTTAGCCACCTTAGTCAAAGAGGGGCACATGCATTTTGTGATTCTCTGTCTTCTTACTGTCCTTGGAGCATCCTGTGTTTTTCCGTTCACGTTTCATTCCATCCTAGCAGCCGTAAGAGCTTCAAGTCCTTTCCTCCATAGCCCTTCACACTGTGTGAACCAGCAGGGGGTATTCTTCTGAACTCAGAGGACCCTTAGGTTTCTTGGAACGGACCAGCCCTCAGGAAACCCCTTGCTCCCAGCTTGCTCAAGCCGACAGATTGCATTTCCCGTTCGCTCAGCCATCAGCTCCTG